GTCAACATCAAACCCTGCCAAATTTCTTTTTTCTTTCTTTCTTTTTTTTTTTTTTTTTGCAATTTGCTTCCCATTAGGAAGAGAGCAGATGATTTTCACTAATTTTGACAATTAGTCTTAATCTTCTTCACCGAATCTTATCTTTGAAAAATTTCATTGCATTTATTAAGTGATCTGAAGACTATCCACTGTTTCATTTTTGTTCTTGAAAATGTGCCTGAAATTATCCCCTTGGTGTTGACACACCACACAGTGGCCCGGAAGGTCCTGGCTTCTGGCTCACCCACACTTTCACTGCCAGCTTTGAATTCTGTCAAAATTCACTAGTCCCATGGATCCTCTTGAAAGGTAGAAAAGGAAGTTCTCTCCCTTTTTTTTTTCTTTTTTCTTTTTTAACAGCTCCCAGTCTGTGGGGATCGTAAATCTTGTTGGAATTGCCAGAGGTTGAGTGTGGAAGGGTTTTTCTCTGTGCTACAAAAATGATCTGTCTGGGCGCTGGCTGAGGTCCAGGCTCAGAGCGCCTAACCTCAGGTTCAGCTGCAACTGGGAAAACCTGCCCGTCCGGCTTTTACGAGCCTTTCTGACTACACTGGCCCCTCCATAGCTCGAGACTTCTTTCTTTTCTTCCATTCCCTCCTTTTTCTCCCTGGCAGTTTAAATCTTGTTCAGGGTATATCTCACCCTTGGAATGTTTCTCCCTTTGATTCCGTATCTCCATGTAAATTGACCTTTGCTTTACAATGCGAGAGGAGATAGCAGCTCCCAGGAGATGAGAGAGGTAGGGACCCCATGTTAGGTAAGTTGTGCTGAACTTGAGAGGTCATGTGAGCATGCAGGTGGTTCTGAACACTTCACATTCTAACCACATGGTCCAGGACTATCTGTCGCCCCTGGAAAATTGAAGTTTGGAGTCAAAAGAAATCCACTTTGGTGAGGTTCATTTGCTCAGCAGTTTCCATGCAGTTGGTGGAGGTACCTCTGTTTTTAGAGTTGCAAGAGGATCGGTCATGGCCTCAGCTGAGGGACATTTAAGACATTTTATCAATGAAATCTGGGAGTGAGTGCTTCATCCCTGGTGGGATTTTTAATCAGTTGGGGAAGAAGGGATTGATCAATGAATACAGGTGTAGTTATTTCATTTTCGAACCAAAGAAGAAATCTAGACTATATGTATCACCAACCACATAGGCAATAGGGGGAGATAATCCACTGCAGAGTTCCTCCTAATTTTTCTAAGAATGTAATTTTTAATCTTTTGGGAATATCTTAGATAAGTTTTAAAATCCTTCTAAAGACTTTTCCCAAGGGAGAAAAAAATGCACCCGTGGACTTTCACATAAAATTTCACATACAATTTCAGTTTCCAGAGGGCTGGACTTGTCTGTGGACGTTCCAGGGACGCATGGCCCCAAGGCCAAGAGTCTATGAATTTGGAACTTTGCATTGACCATGGAAGGCCAGCCTAGCCCTGTGCTGCACATTGTAAATACGTGGAAAATAATAAATAAATGAACGAATGAAGTAGACTTTTTCTTGCATCCCGTGCTGTTTTAGTAACACTCGTTTTTGTTATAGCCAGAACCTGGCTTGTATTATTAGAAAAATAGATCCCATTCAAACTGTTAGTCCAGGCCTTGGGACAGCCATCAGGGGTGCATACATGGAATCGCTTGTAAAGGGGAGGGTCCACACTGTCACTGAAAAGACAGTCTCCTCTCTAGGGCTCACATCGGCTCCCGGTTGCAGAGTGGACGTGCACATTCCACGCCCAGCCCTGTGAGGCCAAATGTTCCCTCGCCTTTCAGGACGGGACTTCATTTCTTGGTGGAATCCGTGTCTTTATTGACCTCCCTGGCAACCTTAATCTTGCCTACTTCCAAAATAGTACCCTTTCCCAATGCTTTTATAAAATGAAATTCCGTGCTGTGGGTGTCTTTTCAGACATAATATTCCCATTGTCACAATCTGGGTTAGTGCATAGTTGTGCAATATTTAAGGCATTTTTCATTCTTAAGTTATTTTATATTATTTGGGAAAGAGTATGGGGAGGTTGCCTTTCAGATGAGGGGAGACTTCATCTCGATGAAGGGATGGTCTATTTGGAAAAGGATGAACTGCACTGGTATTCCCAATAAAAAGTGGCATGTCTTTATGTAGTGGTTACTACTGAGAGATGACCTGAAGGACTCACAGTATTATTGGAGGATCCAAGTCATTCTCTATTCAATCACAGATTCGTATAATGTGGGAGGAGAAATTTATCTGACAACCCTAGAGTTGTTTCAGAGATAACATTCACTATATAAACTAGCAATCAGATCTTCTGGAGAGAATCCAAGGAAAAGACCTGAGTTCTATTAAAATGAACTCTCTTCCATTGTTCTTCTTTTTTCTCTGTTATTATTGATATACACTTTAAATGTATATACTATACATGTGTGTGTACACACACACACATACCCACATATGTACTGAAATCTGCTTTCAGATTTCAGAGTGAGCACATATAGATGAAAAAAGACCCAGCCTCTGACCTCCCAAACCTTAGCCAGCCTGGCAGCCACTTCCTTTCACTGGCAGGTCAAAAGCTTGCGTCCATGATCGGATGTAAAATTCATCTCTCCAGATCAGGCTTGTCTTTTACTTTTGCCAATAAAAGAATGGCAGCACTTTTTTCAAGCAAGTTGCTCCCTGCCCTGCTCAAAACCTGGGGTGGCCCAGCCATGGCAAGGATCAACAAAAAAAAAGCTTCCTTGAAAACTACTTGCGCTT